AACTTTGTTCAATATTCACTCTGTGTGGCCTCTGGGGACATCTAGTGGCTAAAGCTGCTAATTACAGCTGACTGAATAACCAAGTGTTTGGACTTGAGTTAATGTTTCCAAGAAAATTAAAACCAATAAAGATTGTTTTTACCAAACACTGTAAACATTAATCAATATATTGTCAGACGTGGCTTTCAAGATGAGAACAAATTTAAGCATTTTGAAGATATTTACACGTACGTTTCCTACAGAGACCTCACTGCCGGCCACCATCTTCTTCTTCCTGGCCATGTTGGGGTTCCAGTTGCAAACCAGACTGTCGTTCTGCACGCTGTAGTTTCTATGGCCGACGAGCCAGTACGTGTTCAGCTTGCCTTTCCCCTGACGCAGGAACGATGACCGAGACGACCAACAGGCCGCAGACAGGAACACAAAGAGCAGTCCAAATAAATATCATTTTGTTTCGTTCGCTAAAACCTGCACAAGATTCCTGAAAAGGTTTCCTTTAAAAACAGGTGTAGCTGAGATGTTTTACCTTCACCTCGATTTCTCCGCGGAGCTGCAGCTCGTAGGCGTTGTCTTTCATCAAAGCCAGGTACGTTTCTGAACTGGTGTGGATTTTTTGAGCTGGAACCAAAAATTAAATTAAATAAACAAACCATCACTCTGAGATCTTTGATTCTTTGTGCATCACAGCTCTGACTTCTGGAAAAACTTTTTTAATATTTATATTCAACATAATTCCTTAAACCTCTAAAATGTTCCTTAAATCTGCTGCTTGGAAAATCCCAAGTCGTGTAAATTATTTTTTACTGATGTACAGGCGCTGGTCATATAAATCATGAAAAAGTTGATTTATTTCATTAATCTCATTCAAAAAGTAAAACTTGTATATTCATTCATTACACACACTGATATATTTCAAATGTTTATTTCTTTTAATGTTGATGATTATAACTGACAACTAATGAAAACCCCAAATTCAATATATCAGAAAATTAAAATATAACTTAAGACCAATAAAAAAGGATTTTTAGAAATGTTGACCAACTGAAAAGTATGAGCATGAAAAGTATGAACATGAAAAGTATGAGCATGAAAAGTATGAACATAAAGTATGAACATGAAAAGTATGAGCATGAAAAGTATGAGCATGAAAAGTATGAACATGAAAAGTATGAGCATGAAAAGTATGAACATAAAGTATGAACATGAAAAGTATGAGCATGAAAAGTATGAGCATGAAAAGTATGAGCATGAAAAGTATGAACATGAAAAGTATGAGCATGAAAAGTATAAACATGAAAAGTATGAACATAAAGTATGAGCATGAAAAGTATAAACATGAAAAGTATGAACATAAAGTATGAACATGTGCAGCATCAGTACTTGTTGCTCCTCGTGTCTGGATCTCTGCATCAGTGCATCGTGTCATGGAGTGGATCAGTCTGTGTCTCTGCTCAGGTTCTGAGAGTCCAGGTTGTTCTGATCGTGACCTTCAGCTCTTCTCAATTGTTGGCTCTGGTGCATCACATCTTCCTCTCCATAGATCTTCTATGGGGTTACGGTCAGGAGAGTTTGCTGGCCAGTTTAGAACAGGGATACCATGGTCCTTGAACCAGGTACTGGTATCTTTGACACTGTGTGCAGGTGCCAAGTCCTGTTGGAAAATGAAATCTGCATCTCCATAAAGTTGGTCAGCAGCAGGAAGCAGGAAGTCTATTGAACCTCAGAAAACACAGTGGACCAACACCAGCAGAAGACATGGCCCCCAACCATCACTGACTGTGGAAACTTGACACTGGACCTCAATCAACATGGATTCTGTGTCTCCTCTTCCTCCAGACTCTGGGACCTTGACTTCCAAAGGAAATGCTAAATTTACTTCCATCAGAGAACAGAACTTTGGACCACTCAGCAGCAGTCCCTGGCGAGACGCTTCTGACGCTGCCTCTTGTTCAAGAGTAGCTTGACACCAGAAATGCAACAGCTGAAACCCATGTCTTGCATATGTCTGTGCGTGGTGGTTCTTGAAGCACTGACTCCAGCTGCTGTCCACTCTTTGTGAATCTCCCCCACATTTTGGAATGGGTTTTGTTTCACCATCCTCTCCAGGGTGCAGTTATCTCTATTGCTTGTACATTTTTTCTACCACATCTTTTCCTTCTCTTCACCTCTCTGTTAATGTGCTTAGACACAGAGCTCTGTGAACAGCCAGACTCTTTAGCAATGACCTTTTGTGTCTTGGCCTCCTTGTGCGAGGTGTCAATGGTCGTCTTTTGGACAACTGTCAAGTCAGCAGTGTTCCCCATGATTGAGTAGCTACAGAACTAGACTGAGACCATTTAAAGGACTTTGCAGAATCAGTTTTGTGTTGTGTGTTTCCTTGACTGATGAAGCTTTCCAGATGGAAGGTGAAACGTTTCAGCAAAAAAAAAAAAAAAAAACTAACAAGAAACTGTCCAGATGACCTGACTGAAAATTGTTGGACTGTATACCTGGATTATTGAGCATGGACTGTTTGGTCTCTGCAGGTGTTTTGAGTTAATCAGCTGATCAGAGTGCAGCACCAGGTGTTTTTAATATTGAACCTTTTCACAATATTCTAATTTTCTGATAAACAGAATTTGAGGTTTTCATTAGTTGTCAGTTATAATCATCAACATTAAAAGAAATAAACATTTGAAATCTGTGTGTAATGAATGAATATAATAAACAAGCTTCACTTTTTGAATGGAATTACTGAAATAAATCAACTTTTATTCTAATTTTGTGACCAGCACCTGTAGTTTCAAGATAAAAAAGCTGAGCCAGCACATTTTGCTCGTGTTGAAGAGTTCTCTGGAAACTAAAGATCACGTTCAAGAAACAGATGTTGCTCGTACGCAGGCTGGTGGACTCCATCCTGGAGGCGGTGTTCACCGTGTCTCCAAACAGGCAGTACCTGGGCATCTTGTAGCCCACGATCCCCGCCACGCACGGACCTGAGGAGCCGCACAACAAAACCACTCGTGACTTTCAAACAGCTGACTGTGGATGAAGAGTTCCTCTGAAACAGATCTTCCTGTTTTTATTCATCTCTTGTTTTAGGGGTCGGATAGTTCATGGAATCAAATGTTATATCATCTTTAAATAATTTGGTTTATTTAAAACTGATCGTCCACTGAATAAACCTTCTTTAACCACTGGATGGCGCTGTGACTTTAGGGTTGCATTTCTAACAGAGCCTGTATTATTTTTTAAATACTTTTGTCCACACACACACACACACACACACGCACACGCACGCACACACAGTCTTTTAGAGCTATGTCAACCTGAAATAAAAATATCAATTAAATTACTTTTTATTTTAGCTCCTTAAGTTTAAAATAGCAGGGAGTAATACATTAATTCAACCTTTATTCATACAGGTTAGTCCCATTGAGCCTCGGGACTCATTTACTAAAGAGACCTGAATTTAACAAAGAGTGACGACAACAGTGGACAATCATAAATGATGCGCACACATTGAGAAGAACAAAGAAAAGAAAATGGTATTTAAAAAACAAAACAAAAACTGCTAGGTGGTAAAGAGATGTAGAATATTAAAAACAGGAACATGTCTGCACATCATCTGAACATCTGGAACATATACAGGAACACCTGGAATAATATACATAAACATAGAATAGAATAGAATAGAATAGAATAGAATAGAATAGAATAGAATAGAATAGAATAGAATAGAACTTTATTGTCATTGTACCCGAGTACAATGAAATTTGGAAATTTTATACAGGAACGTCTGTTCTGAGTATGGACTGGAGGTTCTACAGTCAAAGTGGGAAACACCATCGAGAATTTATCAATTTATTAACCTTTATTTAACCTTTATGTAACATTTATGTAACCTTTATAAACCTTTATTAAACCAGTCAAATCCCATTGAGATCATAGATCTCTTTTGTAAGGGAGGCCTGGGCATGAAGGCAGCCTAACATGCATGTTTTTTGCCCAGGTCCAACTGGGGATTGAACCCAGGACCTTCTTGCTGTGAGGCAACAGTGTTAACCACTGAGCCATCGTGCTGCCATGAAATAGAATGGAAGGACTAAGGTTCTGTGGGACTCCCAGATCCAGACCATCGAACAGGTGATGGCTAACCAATCAGACCTTGTGGTGGTCGACTACAAGAGAAGAAGGCAGTGGCGATGGATGGAGAAATCCCAAGTGACTGTTACGTCATGAAGAAGGAGCAGCTGGAGAAACAACAAGAGCTGAAAGAGGACCTGCAGAAGTTGTGGAGAGTCCAAGCATCAGTAGTCCCAGTCAGTGGTCACTGGGGCACTCGGTGCTGTGACCCTCAAACTGGAAGAGTGGCTCCAACAGAACAGATCGCAGGAACAACCGCAGAGATCTCCGTCCTGAAGAGCTCAGGAACAACCAAGATACTGAGCAGAACCCTCAGAACCAGACCTCTGGTGGGGGACCCGAGTTTGAAAGTGAAGTGGAACGGCCCGATTGAAAGAGAAGGACAAATAAAAAGCATTTAAAAAGCATTTATAATGGGATTTCATGAAGGTCCGTTCCCCCCAAGGAACACTAGAGGGCAGTAAAGTTACTGTGAAGTTAGAGCAGCGTTGGTAAGAACTTCTGAATAAAACGAGGAGGGCAGGTTCTGCTGCGGCTCCTCTCACCTGTGTGGATGCCCGCTCGCAGCTGCAGCCTTTCGTTGGGCATGTGAGGGATGACCACCTGTCTGACGGCCGCCAGCAGGTCCAACGCCATCTTGGCGATCTCATCAGCGTGTCTGTCGCCGTTTCTCTCAGGGAGGCCGCTCACCACCATGTAGGCGTCTCCGATGGTCTCCACCTGGTTTGAGCAGATTAAACCAACAGAAGCCCATTAACAGAAACCTAGGAGAAGTTTGGATTAAAGTCGTCCTAATCTGTGGCTGGAGGACTCCAACTGGTCACAACCAGCTGAGGGAGCAGCTGATGGGAGCGTTGATGCACGAAGCCAGGCAGCAGAGCAGCAGAAGACACCTTCATCTTTCAAAGAATCCAGGTTTACGAGAAGTTCTGCCTTCAGTTCTCAGAGCAGGCTGGAGAACAGGACGGCCAAATGTTTGTGCGTTCGTGTGTCCGTGTCACCTTGTAGACGTCGTAGGAGTCGATGCGGGTGTCGAAGCACATGTACAGGCTGTTGAGCATCTCCACCACCTGCAGAGGAGCGCAGGACGCAGAGATGGCGGTGAAGCCCACGATATCCGAGAAGAAAATGGTCACCTGCAGAGAAGACAAGAGGCTCCGTCACATCTTTAGATCTTAGACAACTCTCGTTTCCCCGTCTGCAGACAGTCGCACTGAAACATACGACATAAATAAAATGATGACATAAAGTCATATTCAAGGTTCTGCTCTTTGAGGATTCTGTCTGAAGCAACGATCAAAACATCTGTCTTTAGTTGGGTGTCATGATGTCATCAGACTCGTGTTTACCAACAAAATTAAAACGACTCAGACAAGAAAACAGCAAATAACTGAAAAACAAACATGTTCAGTGTGATGCTGGGCACCGAATGTCTTTACAGAAATTTATAAAAGAAGCTAAAACTGGTTTAGTCAAACAAAAAGAAGCCAAACACTAGCTAAAAGCCACAGCTAACTGTTAGTGTTAAAAATAGCAAAAGGCTAGCTAAAAGCTAAAAGTAGCAGAATGCTGCCTGAAAGCAAAGGGAGATCATGGCTAGCCAAAAGAGGCAAAAGGCTAAAAAAAAAACTAAGAATAGCTAAATGGTAGCTCAACACTAAAATAGTAAAAGGCCAATCAAAAATAATAAAGGCTAGATAGACGATAAAAGTAACAAAATGCTAACTAAAAGTAGCAAAACACTACCTGACAGGAAAGGGAGAAAAAGGCTAGCTAAAATATTAAAGGCTATTTAGAAGATAAGAGGTAAATGACAGCTAAAATTAGCGCAACATAGCTAAAAGTCACAGTAAGAGTAGCTAAAACTTAAAAGTAGCACGAGAAGACGAAAACAGAACCAGCAGCTAAAGCAGAGTTCAAGAAAGTTTTCGAAGACTTCTTCATCGGGGAACGTTCCACAAAGAGTCTCACGTTTTCCTTCCAGAACGCTCCAACTCGTGCTCAGAATCCTCCTGTCACCAGAAAAAGCTTTTTGTGCAGCTGCTTCAAACCTCTTTAATGAGCCTGACGCATTTTCAGCCGTACAACTTGTTTTATCTCCACATGAATATGGAACAGGGCAATTACAGGTAATTACTCCAACAATGGCAACAAAGGCAACAAACATTCAGTCGGGGGTCTGTGGATCTCACAGATGTAACCTTCGCATGGCTTTATAAACCTCTGCGGGCGGCATCGTGATATCCAGATTTGTTATGGAAACTAAACTGTTCTCGATATTGTTGTCCATTTCTACCAGTTACCATCGAAGCTGGAGTAACAGCTGTGGAGGAGCAGGAAGGAAAACACACACATTAACAGTCGAGTCATAATTCCCTGAGTTTATCCCTGCGAGCACCTGTAGTTCAGCTGATGTCGCTCGTTGAGACACGAGGCACTTTAGTGCACAAGGATCACGTCTTGTGTGGTTCATCTTGGGAGACTGGAAACTGTGTGGAGGTCTTCATGTACCCATTGGATCCAACATCAGGCCAATATGCGCTCCACATGTTGGACACCTGAACAGTGCAACCAGTGGAGATTCAAGAGGTCCCACGATGTGATCCCTAGAAACCCCACCAAGTTCTAATGTTCACTGTGTGATGCCAGCTCCTTACAGGGTCTGAGCAAAGATACGTCAGAACTGGACCATTCTGACAGGTTCCATCAGTAACTGTCCCTCAGGTGCTGGTTTCAGTGGAACTCACTGACAGCTCCAGCTCGTTCCCAGTTTGAGAAACTAGACATCTCAGAAGCTGAGCGATCGGCTTTATCTGCCTTGAACATCTAATAAAACCGACATTTGGAAGTAAAATGTTGCCACGTGAAACATCCATCCATCCATCCATCCGTCCGTCCATCCATCCATCCATCCATCCATCCATCCATCCATCCATTATCTTTACCCGTTTCGGGTCGTGTGGGGGTCACTTCTGTCCATGTCCAGCCATCACTGTGCGAGAGGCAGGGGACACCTGGACAGGTCTCCAGTCCATCACAGGGACACATAGAGACAAACGAGACAAAGGACCATTCTCTCTCTCTCTCTCTCTCTCTCTCACCTAGGGACAATTTAGAGTTACCAATCAGTCTAACATGCATGTTTTAGATCTGTGGGAGGAAACTGGAGCACCCGGAGAAAACCCACGCATGCACGGAGAGAACATGCAAACTCTTTGGTGGCGTACCAAAGAGACCATCTTATCACAAGCAGAACTGGTTTGTTCCACTTTGGAGTAAGCTGTTGGGGAAAGAATCAGTTTTGTTGTGTGTTTCCTCGACTGATGAAGCCTTCTGGATCGAAGGCGAAACGTTTCAACAAAAAAAGAAACTGTCCTGACTGAAAAATGTTGGATTGTATACCTGGATTATTGAGCATGGACTTTGTTCCACCCAGAAAAATCCTCGGCCAGGATTTGATCTGGCGACCTTCTCGCTGAGAGGCAACAGCTCTACCAACTAAGCCACCGTGCCAACCCCCACATGAAACATGTTTTTGAGAATAACTTCTGAACATTCAGGTCATCTTGACCTTCTAATGACAGACCAACAAATGGTCCATTCAGGGGGGATCTCAGAGTAGACCTGCTGCTCCTCCTCATCCAGAGGAGCCAGTTGAGGTGGTTCAGGCATGTGGTTAGGATGCCTCCTGGGTGCCTCCCTCTGGAAGTTTTCCTGTCTTGTCCCACTGAGAGGAAATCCTGAGGCAGACCCAAAACATGCTGGAGGAGATTCTATAGCCTCTTTGGCCCAGGAACACCTCAGGTTCCCCCAGGAGGAGCTGGAGATTGGCTCTGGTGAGAGGGAGGTCTGGGTTTCCCTCCTGGACCTGTTACCTCTTTGACCCTTCAGTCGTGCCCTGCCTACTTACACCTGTTCCCTGTCAATATTCTCACCTGTTGCATCTATTCAACCTCAGCCTTCTCAAGCCTCCGCTCCCAGACCGTCTTCAGTCCATCATCGTGGCCGCACAGTCCGGTTGTCTTCTGTGTCTCAGCCTTTCATTGTTCACTCCTCACCCTGTTTCTAAGGCTGAGCTCGGCCACTCAGAAGCCATTAGGATCCAGGATCTTGTTCTTTTGGTCATGACCTAAACTTCTTGACCATAGGCGGGGTCACGAATCTGAATGGACCAGTAACTCCAGAGACCACAAACTGAAACACCTGTGGATGAGGTCCAGTTGGTGGCTCCATCACTCCATCACTCAGGAACAAGACGCCCAGATACTTGAACGTTTTAGTTTGAAACGAAGACTCACCCCTGGCCTGGAGGAGCGTTCCACCCGTTCCTGGTTGACAGCCACGGTCCCAGATTCAAGAGATCAGGATCCCAAAGCGTAGACCTGGAAAGGAGGGGGTCCGGTTTGGGAACCGCAGGGACGGTCTCTGCTTTTTGCAGATGATGTGGTTCTGTTGCTGCCTTCATCATTCATTAAACAAAGAAGCTCATGGACCAGTACGACTTTTTATGGACTTATCTTTCCTTTAATCTGTTTTTAATCTGATTTCTGTAGATCTTCTCTAGACCAATCCCTTGGTGTCTCATGGCCCACAATGGGTTTCTGACACTAATTTCGGGAACATATTCTTAGCCATAATTCATGTATAATCCTAATCTGTTCCTGTTTAGTATTTTGTCTACCCTTTGACCTCCCAGTAAGTTTATACTCGTTCTTTGGTTACTTTGGCTTCCTGCCTCCATTAAAGCACTTCAACACCACGTTTGTGTTTATTCTTGAACGACAGAACTTAAATCTCTCCTGAAAAATCGTTGAGTGTAGGAATGTTGTATTGGATTAAATCACTTACTCTTTCGTAACTCTCAGCTTCAACGTGTTTGTGCTTTCGTAGCTGCTTGGCGACTGACTTTGGCAACATTTGGTGCAGCAGATCTTCAGCCAGTTGCCTTTGGCGCTTCAGGTCCTCGGACTTCTCCTTCAGCCTCCCGGCGTAGTTCTGAATCCACTCAGTCATCTGCTTGAAGGAGAACATCACTGCCGGGTAGATGAGGCAGGCTAATGCCAGCAGGCAGATCCTCATACTCAGACTCGAGGACATGGACCGAGACTTCGACAGAAGAGCTGAGGATGCACGATCAAAAAGGCAACGCTGGGTTTGTATCAGAACCTGAATTCCTGTGTGAGACCCGGACAAGTTGTCACTTCCAGCCCCAGAAATCTGCCACTGACTCGTGTCAAAAACACAAGATTTCATCTCCTGGTTCATGTTCTCCAACCAGCAGCGGTTCAGGCGTTCTGTCATGGCCCGGGCGAAGCTCAGGTAGCTCAGAGTGCGAGTCCACCTGAGCTGAAAGCCAGACAGAGCCGTTGTGTGATGGGAGAACATCAGCTGATGGTTGAGCTCTATGAACACCACCAGAAGTCTGGCAGACAAAACGTCTCTCCAGTTAGAGTTCTGTTTGGCTTTGACCAAAGAATCCTCTACCGAGCCCCAGGTGTCGAGAAGTCTCTCTATGGCCCGAGTCAAGGCAGAACCTGTGCTGTTAGCGTCTAAGGAGGTGTTCAAAACGTCTTTAATGTGGCTCATCGTCTCCTGGCAAAATTCAGACACCTCAACGCTGCAAGGGAGTCCACGGCCGTCACTAAAACTCTCCACTTCATCACAGAGACGATCCACTGCAGGAAAGCTGGTGTCCAGAGTCTCATCGCTCGTGTTTGTGGCAAAGAAACGCCTCATCTTCTGAAGCTCTTTGACGAGCTGCAGAAGAGTTATCGTCCTGCAGGAAGTCAGCTCGTCGTAAGCGGCCTCCGTGGAGCGCAGCAGGTCCAAGCTGGCGCTGAGGTCGACGGACACGGAGCCGAGCAGAGCCAGGAAGGAGAGCAGGCAGGCGGTCAGAATCCGGTGGACGGTGCGGTTGCTGCTGGACGTGGAAAATATGAAACATCTGGAACGCAGGAAAACAACCGGTGACGCATCAGAGGTCGATAAACAGCCTTACAACCTTTTTACTGTCTCTTGGGACAATTATGGCAAAAACACGCACAACTTAGAGTTCTGGAGATCGCCTGAAACTAAACCGTCAGTTTGTATGACCCGAACAACCAAGAACCAAATACAGAGAAAGATCTTACCTGAACGGGAACATAAAAACATCTGGTCCATTCTGGACAGACACGATCAAAGTACTGCAACCGTTTGCAACACTCATTTATGGGTTTTAAACAGTTGTTGCTGAAAAAGATGAAGCTGAATTTACAAAGCTAAAAAAACAGAACACTAGCTAAAAGCTACCAGAAGCAGAACACTAGCTAAAAATAATAAAAAGGTTAAACGCTAAAAAGTAAAAGGCTAGCTAAAACTTTTAAGTAATAAAAACTTGCTACAAGTAGTAAACATGAGGCTAAAACAAAAAGTTTAAAAAAAGAGTAGCTGAAAGCTAAAATTAGCAAAATGATAAAAGCAAAAAGCAGCAAAATGCTAAAAGTAGCTAAAGGATAGCTAAAGCTAAAATGAACAAAAGGCTAAATGTAGAAAAAGAGGTAAAAGCAGATTTTAAAGAGAATAATGTTTCTGAACAGACCTCTGCGTTTTCCTGTGGTGAAAATAGTTAAAGATTTAGAAAAGTATAAAAGTTATTTTGTGTTTTTAAAGTTACACGAAGTCTGCAGAAGAAGTTAGACGACAAAAGTCTTAAAATAGTTTAAAAGAATCTAAATCAGAAAAACAACAGAATAAATCAGGACTTTGAAAAACACAGAAAAAAAAACACCTTTTGTCACTCCTTGTTCCTTCAGCTGGACTTAATGTGGTACCAGAACTCAGATTCACCAGTCTCACCCTCACAGTGTCTCACCCTCACAATGTCTCACCCTCACAGTGTCTCACCCTCACAATGTCTCACCCTCACTGAGTCTCACACTGAGGCAGTCTTACTCTCATGGAGTCTTACCTCACAATGTCTCACTCTCACATAGTTTCACTTCATAGTGTCTCATCCTCACAGTGTCTCACCCTCACATTGTCTCACCCTCACAGTGTCTCACCCTCACAGTGTCTCATCCACACAGTATCACTCTCACATATTTTTGCCTCATTGTGTCTCACCCTCAAAATGTCTCACCCTCAGTGTTTCACTCTCAGTGTCTCACCCTCAGTGTCTCACCTGCATGGGTCACAGTTGCTGTCCTCATAGTGCCTCACTCTCATAATGTCTCACCCGTGTCTCACCCTCACAATGTCTCACCCATATCTCACACTCAGTGTCCCACCCTCACAGTGTCTCACCCTCAGTGTCCCACCCTCACAGTGTCTCACTTTCAGTGTCTCACCATCACAATGTCTCACCCTCACAGTGTCTCACCCTCACAATGTCTCACCCATATCTCACACTCAGTGTCCCACCCTCACAGTGTCTCACCCTCACAGTGTTTCACCCTCAGTGTCTCACCCTCAGTGTCTCACCTGCATGGGTCACAGTTGCTGTCCTCATATTGCCTCACTCTCAGTGTCTCACCCTCATAATGTCTCACTCGTGTCTCACTCTCAGTGTCCCACCCTCACAGTGTCCCACCCTCAGTGTCTCACCCTCACAGTGTCTCCCCCTCAGTGTCTCACCCTCATAATCAGTGTCTCACCCTCACAGTGTCTCACCCTCACAGTGTCTCACCCTCATAATCAGTGTCTCACCGTCACAGTGTCTCACCCTCACAATGTCTCACCCTCACAGTGTCTCACCCTCACAGTGTCTCACTCAGTGTCTCATCCTCAGTGTCTCACCTGCACGGCTCGCAGTCGCTGTCCTCCTCATGCTGCGCCTCCGGAGTCACCCTCCTCCTCCTCCACCTCCTCTTCTTTAAAAACCTCCTCTTCAGGGAGGCCGAGGACAAATGGGTCCCAGAGGCGAAACGCTGCTTCTTTTTCATCAAGTCCAGCTCTGACATGAGACCCGACCTGCAGCAGAACCAGCACCTCACACGGGTCCACCTCAGAGTGAGACCGACCTGAGACCAGCGGAGATAACCCCGCCCCCTGTCCACCAGCACCGCGCCAACACAACTTCCGGTTTCCTAATTAATCTGCTCCAATTAATGAGCAGTTTTAATTAACTGAAATAAAACTCGTCCATTCATTTAAACCTCACGGCTGCAACACTTAACATTAAAACAGGAGAAAATATGCCTATAATATTTATAAAGTATTTCTAAATAGAGTAAAAAAAAAAAACCAACTTCTGTTTCAAAATTCTTAAATTTATTCTGAAAGTCTAGCTGTACAGGAAGTGCTCAAACTGACATTTTCCTGTAATTCAGACAAAAGAAAATCAGTTTAATTCACACTTTGTTATTTTATTCTCAAATCGGGTAATAGAGAATAATATACATTTTTAAATAACATTAAAAAAGGTTTGACAGCATTTACTGGACTGAACTCACCAGAAAACTGGTTCAGATGTTCAGCATCCACCAAGACTCAAGTCTCCAAGAACTGGAGACTGCAGGAACAGAAGTGTCCCTGCAGTGAATCAGGTTTTACAGAGGACCAAGAAGGTCCACCTCAGCTGGACTGAAGCCTGCAGCTGTCCCTGTGGACAAAGTGTCTTCTGGAGAAACGTTTGATGGTCAAACGAGACGAAGATGGAGGCGTTTGGACACAAAGACAAGAAAGATTGAATCCAGATGAGACTTTCAGACCTGAGAACACTGAACCAACTGTCAGGCACGGTGGTGGCAGCACCATGCTGTGGGGCTGGTAGATGGAGGAGGAGGACTACGTCCAAATCCTTCAGCTTCACCTCAACTCAACAGCTGGACAGCTGGCGCCTGGACCCAGGTGCGTCCATCAGGACCATGACACACCAGATCTGGTGTCTGATTGGATAAATCAGGCTAACATGAAGCTTCTGGAATGACCTTTTCAAAGTCCTGACTTTAAATTCATGGACTTTGATTAAAAGCAGATCTTTGCAGGAAACCATCCAGTTAAAACAAAATGTTCTGCCAAGACGAGTCGAATGTCGGCCAGAGTTCTGCCAAAAAAGTCGTTTACACCGAAACTCACGGCGATCTGATTAATTATTGTTACTCTCATTCAACACGGTGGATCAGTTGATAGAGCTGCTGCCTCTCAGTGAGAAGGTCGCTGGATGACTCCTGGCTGCGAACCTTTCTGGGTGGAGTTTGCATGTTCTCTCTGTGCTGTGTGGGGTTTCTCCGGGTACTGGTTTCCTCCCACACACCACAAACATGCATGTTAGGCTGGTTCTGTTCGTGCTGCTCAGGGTGGCTGCATGTTGGAGCAGCTCTGTGACATTCATTCTGAGATGTTGCTTTTGGAAACTTTACCTACTTTCTGTTTTCTGGACGTAAATCGCTTTATTTGGACGATTGTTTCCTCTGGTCTCAGATGCTGTGCAGCTGAAAGGATTTTTACTAAAACTTCTTTTACTTTTGGACATTTGTTATGATGCGTAACCATGACAATAAAGTGTTTTGTTTACAACCAGGAGCAGCTGATTAACATCTCAAAAGCTCAAATAATATCTCTGCTACAGTGCCAAATCTCATATGAGTTGAAAAGGAGGGCCCGTGGATGCTTTCCCGTCTACCTGTCGGCTGTGCTCGAGTGTCTGACCACTGAGATCCCAAGAGCTCCTAAAAAAAATCCTGGAACTAGCAGGAAACATGGCTCGTGTCAGCAGAAGGACCAGTATCGTCCCCCCGCACCTGCAGCTGTCTGTCTGCAGCAACGAGGAGCTCGGCGGGCTGCTGGGAGGAGTGGCCATTATTCTGGGAGGAGTTCTGCCTGGCATTCAGGCGGTCCTGCAGCCCCATGAACTGAGAGACCAGCCGAGTCCAGGTGGACGGATCGAATAGCATCTGCAGCCAGTTTCTTCAGATCCGCTGTGGGACGGACCTTTACAAGAGTCTGCCTACAGCATCGGCATCTATAACATCTCTTAATGAAACGAGGATAATGAGTTACAACATTTAATTTCCCTTTGGGATTAATAAAGTATTCTTGAATTGAATAGAATATGTGTCTCGCTTGTCTCTATGGGTCCCTGTGATGGACTGGAGATTTGGAGTCCAGGGCGTCTCCTGCCTCTCGCACAGTGACCGCTGGATATGGACACCAGTGACCCGAAAAGAAAGAAGTGGGTAAAGATGATGGCTGGATGGCTGGATGGATGATGGAAGGATGGATGTGTCCTTAAATTAAAAAAATGTGTAAGTAAAATTTCTGACTTTCAGCTATCATCAAAGGCTTTCCATGTAAACGCTGTCTGAGTTGGACAAAACGGAGAATTTTGATGTGTTTACGCTCAGATTTGTTGAGTACCATATGCAGATAAAAGTACTTTGTTTACACCGAGTGCATACCCACATTTCAGAATTTCATGTTCTGAGGAAAACAGCTGATGTAAATCCAGATTATATTGATTTCATGGTTTGCCTTTAAAGACCAGTGGCACCTCGGGGTTTCCATAGTTTCTAAATGAATCTAGGTGTTTTTGAACTGTCCCATTACGATGGATTCACCAGAGGCACCTGACTGAGTCCTGGGTCACAGGGGGCGTCAGTCCGCTTCTGCTTCCATTCTCCAAAACAAACGGACGCTTCCGTAAAGCTCACGTCCGTTCAAACACACAAAGGTATACGTTTTCAAAACAAGAGCATCGGCGCGGACTTCGCGGCTCCACATACAGCGGCATCGCGAAGCAAGCTTTTATTTTGAACGTCCAAAACAGGAAGTGGTCGCTGTCAGTTTCTGTAACTTGATTGGTCGGAACTCCGCTGCGGGTCGGGCTCGCGCAGCTCGAAAAGCGCACGGGTGAATCATGGTGAAGACATGGAACAGTTACTAACTTTGCGCGTGTAACGGAGCTCAGCTCGTTTCAAGTACTTATTTTTCATTTAAATATTTCGCACGCCGGCTCCTCGCCGATCCAGGCGGGCGGAGTTTAAAAGTAAATGAAAGCGTTTGTTTGGTTTGGAGCCACTGAACAAAGAGCTTTTCTTCTCAACCATTGTTGTTACGGAGCGGGGCGCCTGGTCGGGACGGTTCAACTACGACTACTGACCGAAGGTCGCAGAAAAGTGTGTATTAATACATCCAGCTGTTAGTCGGTGATCATAAACAACGTGCTAATCGAGCTAACGCACCAGATCCCGTCGCGCTCAACTCTAACTTAGCTCCCAACTAATCTAATAAACAGGATGGATTTAATCCACACGTCGGTATAAATCTATTTTGTGTGATTTAAACTCTTAAAAGAAACATTTAGAAAGATCTGAACGAGTTTAGAAGTCTCATGAACAACAACAGTTCACCCGCAGGTCAAGCAAACTGCGCTTGTGCGTGAAACCAGACTTCATTCAAAAATCCAACAGTTTAGTTTCTTTTTGTGATTTTATCAAAATGCTGGAAACTTGAAGCCGTTTTTTAAATTCACCTGTCGCGTTAAGGTCTGATCTTTAAATCGGCTGAATGAAAATGTCTGAAAAGGGAAATATTTCAACGTAAAAAGCATCTGGAGCTTCGATTCACAGCTTTTGTGGCTCTCCAAACTTGATTCATAAATTGTACATGTTTTATTTGTTGCACCAGAAATATGAAACTCACAACTCGACTTTTACATTTATATGACACGTTAGGTTTTGTTTTTTTTAATTGGTCTATAAATAAATTATTTTAATAATTAATTGATCGTATGTTTTGTCAAGATGTCAGTGGCACAGAGCTCCAAGAGAAATGAGTGGCGTTCACAAACAAAGTATTAAAAAAGTCCACATTATGTTCAGTGAACATTGTTTGTTTGTGGAGCACCAGACTTCATTTTAAAATTGTTCAGATTAGTTTTTGTTTGTGGCGCCAAATATATTAATTCTTTCAACCTTTATTTTTACAGGTTAGTCTCATTGAGCCTCGAGGACTCTTTTACAAGAGAGACCTGTTTGTACGAGTCCCACAAATTGAAATCTTAATTGATACGACATATTAGGCTCACTTCATAACGTCTAAAATAAATTCATTCAATTTGCAATAAAACATTTCAAACGAAGTTGACACGTTCTGATGGAAATATGTGCTCAGAAAAGCTCAATTTGATCACATGATTACCTTCAACCCCCTGAGTTTCGGTGTTTTTAATGTCTGATTTACATTTCTGGAGGTTTAAACGTCTAAAGTTCAGGTAAAAAAAAACTGAACCCGAGTGAGAAACCAGCTGAAGTCCGAAACAGTACAGCTTATTGATCACAACCTTAAAAGATTAGAATAAAGTGTTTCCATCTCTGCCAAACGCTGAAGTGTTTACACAAAATAAGTCGTGTCGCAGGACGAACCTGTGCTTCGGGTTGTTTGTTATCTCTGTGATAAACAGCAGCGTGTGCTTGTTTACTTGTTTGTTGACAGGGGAGGGGCGGCCTGTGCTCCAGCCATGACCTCTGGGAACGGGAGCACTGCCAGCAGCCAACATGATGGAGGGAGTAAACCCGCCCAGCAGGCCCCAGACAAGTCCCACATCCTCACCCACCTGATCGGAGGCTTCGTTATCCAGGAGGGAGCCAAACCTTTTCCTGTGAGTACCAGAAACACTGAATCCTGGGTAATGAAGTTCCACCCCAACGTCTCGAGGGCGAACACGCAAACTGGGTCAGTTTGGTGTTTAATCGCTTCTTAAAGTAGGACTGAAGTAAACGCGTTAACTGACGTCCTGTTTGAGCAGGTCTGTTAATAACACCATTAATTCAAGGCCTAGAATTTCCCTAAAGAATGCCTGTCGCCCGCCATATTGCATGCCAAAGTGTCGCACAACGATCTTGTTGACAACGACTCTCAGCTTCCACCACACCAAAGTTTAGCTCAGTATCTTTAAAAATGGTTGTAAAGATAAAGTTTAAATAAAGCCCATCCAGAGAGATCTCTAAGAGATCTAACGGTTCGCTTCAGGTCTTTAATTGTTGGCAGTCTAGGCGGCGGGCGATATGCATTACTTTAAGAAACGCTGGTTTTATTCTGACCCGTTTTAAAGGCCAAAGAAATTGTAATAAATCCCATTTTTGCCAAAGTTGTGAGTATTTTAAGGAGCAGCAGTGGTCAGAACGTCTCTTATTGTATGAGCAATCCATGCACACAGACACACACAGGTAGATACATGATCACCTGGCACCGTGGAAGCACCGCCTGTTCTTGTTTACCTTCCTGCAGGTGGAGCGCCCGTCTTTCTCCATAGAGCGTCTCAGGAGACGAGCAGCAGACGCCAAGATGAACGCCCTCGCATCAAAGGGTAAAAGTTTCAGGTTTTGTTTTCGGCGCCTCCAGGACTCTGTGCCGCTGCCTTCAGCTGGTCTGAGATCTGTTGTGTCCTCAGATCTGAAGGCTCCGCCGGAGCCCACGCTGACCTGCGAGCTCTGCGGGAAGGTGGACTTCGCCTACATCTTCAAAAGGTCCAAGAGGTTCTGTTCTACGGTTTGTGCCAAACGGTGAGTTTCACCGCCCGCCCTGAGGTCTGAGCTCTGGTCTGGAGCACAGACCAGCAGGACCAGAACCAAACCCTCAGGTCCGAGCTGCGAGTCCCAGTCAGATCCAGTTTTAAAAAGTGAAGAAAGAAAAATCGAACTCTGACGTCAGCTCTGCCTGTAGATACAACGTGGGCTGCACCAAGAGGATGGGGCTCTTCCCGAACCGGAAGACCACCCTGGAATACCTGAAGAAACAACGAGCCCTGAACGGGAACCACAAGACCACTGCTCTGGAGTCCAAAAAGAAGGTGGGGCCACCGGGGCTTTTATTCTGAAACGCCACTCGGTGCGTTGATCACGATCAGTTATTTTATTTCACCAGATTCAAACTCGTTCAGGCTGACGGAGAAACAAACAGCTGTCAGAAAGATCCAAAGAAAACGTGTTTTCTGTGGAAACTTGAGAGCCGAAGGGCAGCCGAAACCTGCTGAAGAAGCCGAAACTGAGTAAAAACTAAAATTAGACAACTGGAACATAAACTGCAGTTAAAAGCTAAAATTAGTAGCAGCACAGCTAAAACACAAAGTTACCTTAACCATAGCTAAAAGCTAAATGTAGAAAAAAAAAAAAAACTGAAAGCAAGAATTAGCAATGCGGTAGCTACAAGCTAATGCTATCACCTGCACTTAGCTAAATTATAGGTAAAAGCTAATTTAGCAAGACAGTAGCTAAAAGCTAAAGTAACTTAGTGTATTTGTGTGGAGGAATATTTGTCAATACAATATTTAAATCCATCCGACCGACTAAATGATAAACAATATAATTAAATAAAACCATAAATAAATGCTGACATTCACACATTTTTTAAATTTGATTTTATATTCTTCTAACTAAAAATAAATATTATATTCATAATTTAACCCAACTGACAGATTTGATATTTTAGCCTCTTTTAACCAAAACATCATCTTCAAATTATTAATTTAAAATTATTTTGTGCGTATTTTTCTGATACTTTCTGTCAGTAGTTTGGATTAAAGTAAACCTAATTCTTCCAACGTTAAAAATATTTTTGTTTAAAATAATAAAGTTTTTAAATCAACCTAATGTTGTTTTATAGTTTAAAATGTTATTTTTTTAAGATGCACCTTCAGGAAACAGTTTTTTAAAAATGAAAACAGAATAAATTTATATTTAAACGAACTTTGGTTCCTCTAAAGATCAGAGCAGCCGTGAACGCTTGTCTCCTGTTCTCTCCTCCTATGTGCAGAAACCTCCTCCTCCTGCTGCAGCGCCTCCTGCTGGCCACTCCGTGCACCCCGCGCACGGCGACTCCAGTCAGTGTTCGGACCTGTCCGGCTGCAAGACGTCCCCTCTGTCGGCCCCCCCGTGGGCTCACAGTCCGGGCTCGGACCTGCCCCTGCTGCCCCACGCCTTCCTGCCCAGCGACCCGGGTCAGTGGAACATCGAGGACGTCTACGAGTTCATCTCCTCGCTGCCAGGTGGGCGTGGCCTCGCCGCCGTGACACGGGTTCAGATTCTCTTCCTGTGACTCCAAAACCTCGACCAGTTCTGCAGTTTTGATCCGAGTCAGCAAAACTTTACTGAAAGTCTCGGTATGAATTATTGCAGTGTTTTTTCTGGCAGAGCTCCAAAATGTTTTTATCCAGCGATTCTGAAAACGTGTGTCTGAGACACCGGATGGAGGAAGTGGAAATGATTTAAGGATCGTGAATAACATATTTTACTAGTTTCTGGTTGTTCTGTCGAGTTTAAGGAGTTCATCATCAAAATGTTTAAATAAACTCTCCGTAGTCGGCGAACGTCCACCAACAAATCTTTACGGGCCAGACGCTGAAAACTAGTAGAATCATTCTCAATATGCACTTTTCCAAGTAGATTTGTTCTAGAACTGGATCTGAATTTAGATCCAGTTCATCTGGACCATGGACTCTTCTCTGGTGTGGTATCGAACAGGGTCCCAGCAAACGGAAAGCGACTCGCACGTTGTTCCAACAGGGAGAAGTTGGAACTCTGATCTGCTGATTTAAAGACGCTGTCTCAGGTTTTAACGTGCTCGAGTATCACTGAGGCCACGTTCTGCTTCTACGCAGCACGTGCGTCCTCACTGACCGACTGGTGGCTTTTTATCATCGGTTAGACAACATTATTAGGATTAACTGCTGTACGCACGCACCGCAGGCTGCGGTCTACTTCCTGTCCTCTGAGTCGCCACTCAGCGTTCGTGTGACTGAAACGTCTCGTTAGTTCTCATGAAATGCTGGGAGCCTAAATTGACTGTATCCAACTCACAGGGAGTTTAGTTTTTCCAGGACCCTCAAACGCCTCATAGCTCTCGCCCCCTCCCATCCTGAAGCCATGCAGGCAAAGTTTGGTAAAACAATAAAACTTTAAAACGGTGATATATGGTATGAATCACGATAAGGCTCTAAAATATTGCGTTAATCATTTTTGTCCGTATCGCCCGGTGCTGATCCGGACGTCGAACCGACACACGGAGGCAGCTACCTGCCCGAGGTTTCTCCGATGTCACATGACGGGTGTCCATGTTTGGCCACAGGTTGTTTGGAGATCGCCGAGGAGTTTCGCTGTCAGGAGATCGACGGCCAGGCGCTGCTGCTGCTGAAGGAGGACCACCTCATGGGAACCATGAACATCAAACTGGGCCCGGCGCTCAAAATCTTTGCTCAGATCAGCATGCTGAAAAACTGGTAGCTCACCGTGCACTCAGACCTCCTCCACAGGCAGCTCCCGGACAGACGGGACTCGCTCAGGATCTTTGGATTGTGGTCCCGACCGCCCGACCTCAACTTCTACACTTCAGGAATCATGGAGTCCACGGCTGGGCCGTCTTCTGTAGGCTGTAGTTTTCATAGACCGGTAGGTTTTCTTCTGGTTTCAGGTCCTCGGTGGTTTTAGCAAACGAACCTGCTTCGTCAAAAGATCAGTGCTCGACCTGAGCACAGAACCGCACGACCCAACGACCAGCAGGAAGTGTTGATTTAAAACAAGGTGAATTCGGATCACTGACATCATTTAAAGCAACAAAACAATGAAATTTATGACGAAATTCATAAAAACATGAAATTCATGACGAAATTCATAAAAACATGAAATTCATGACGAAATTCATAAAAACATGATGAAATTCAAAAAAACATGAAATTCATGACGTAATTCATAAAAACATGATGAAATTCATGATGAAATTCATAAAAAACATGATGAAATTCATAAAAACATGATGAAATTCATAAAAACATGATGAAATTCATGAAAACATGACAAAATTCATAAAAACATGACGAAATTCATAAAAACATGAAATTCATAAAAACATGACAAAATTAATAAAAACATGACGAAATTCATAAAAACATGATGAAATTCATAAAACATGATGAAATTCATGACAAAATTCATAAAAACATGACGAAATTCATAAAAACATTATGAAATTCATAAAAAAACAGCTAAAATTTGATAATAAAATTTGATCATAAAAAAGTTGTTTTGTGATGAAAAGGAGCCTAAAATTATATTTAAGTTTCAAAGTTTAGAGACAGAACAAGAACCAGTTTCCATCAGCAGTTTTACCGTTAATAAGCTCAGCTGGAGCTCTTCCACTGTCGGGTATTTATTTATTTCTGGTGGAAGAAAAAGTTCACCTTTGTTATTCCCGGGTCATGATAAACGGATCGGGTCTTTATCAGGTTCTAAAATGATTCGACTCTAAACCTGACGTGAACAAAAACAACAGATTCCACAGAGTTATTTATTAAAAGGCTGTGAGTGAAGGACTGGTTCCAGGTTCTGACCCAGCAGCCTGTAGAACTCTGTGGCTTTCTGTTTGTCTCCTGGTTCTGGAGGAGTTTTGGTCCACGCTTCTTTCCTTCGTGGTTTCTGCTCAGCTCTCTGAAGGTCCACCGCAGCGTTTCAGTCAGGCTGAGGTTCTGAACCCTGACCGACCCGTTCTGTTGTAGAGCAGCTGCCGTGTTTGGACTCGTGGTTCTGGTGGACCCAGTTTGGGTTAGTCCCAGAAGTCTCGTCACAACCTTTGACCTGCTGAGGCATGTTGAGTCTGAGATGGAGCTCATTTCAGAGTATTGCACGGTCTGACCTTCAGGGTGACTGTGAAGATTTCCAGCTGTCCTAAATGTCCTCATTAATAATTGTTCTCTTAAACAAGGGACTCCAGATCATTAGGAAATTACCTTTGACCCTTCCGACGGGGAGAAGCAGACGCTTCTCTGAGGTAATTGCTGATGTCTTTCCATCTCGGCGTGTTAACACACCTGTTTGTTCCTCTGATGATCAGCTCATCAGCAGCTCCTGGCTGACCCTGAACAGGATCCTGAGATCCTGTAGAAGCACCAAGACTGGATCCAGTTATTTCCTCACACCCTTAACTTCTGACGCCCATCAGTCGTGGTTTTATCGTTATAGAACCTGAGAAGGACCAGAACAGTTCTATGGTGTCCTGATAAGAACCCCGGACTTTCTTTTTCAGCGCGTCTTTAGTTTGACAAACGGTTTGGACGGACCCGCTCTAAATCCACCCTGGATCTGTTGTTGTAGCCAAACGAACGAAGGTCCATCTGAAACCGGAGAGAAACCTTCAGAGCGGACAGTTTATGTTTTAGTCAGAACCACGGATGGAGACACGGATCACGTATCGGCACTGAACTCAAAAATACACGAAGCTGCTGCGCAACACGAGCACCGATCCAGTCCGACACAACTGGCGCTTCTGTACGGAACAAGAAGAACGCCACAAAAACAAAAATCAAGATATAAATGTAGGCACTTTTTAAAGAAAGTTCTCACTATTTGATTAATTCTAACTTCTTTTAGATTGAATCGTTCTTGTGGCTCTTTCTGTTTCTGATGTTCAAACCATTTTTCTGTGAATGCTCCGTTCACCAGCACAGCTACGAATCAGGTTTCGACCGAGCGAAAGACCTTTTCCTCGGGCGATCATGTAAAGTCTATGCACACAGGAAGTGCCTGTTAATGCAGCAGAGTGATCCTGGTTGGACGTGAATAAATTAAAAAGCCGTGAAACTTTTACCAAAGTCAAGAACTGCTCTGCCGACCCGCTGTTCGCCTCTAGATTATTATGTACATTACTGTCCTTTGAGATGTTTTTGTCCTTTTACACTGAAATTTTTAATAAATTTGTTAGATCCTTGTTCCTTTTAAGTTTTTGTTGTTGTTCATTTAAGTGTCATGCTATATTCGCTGAGCTTCGGGAGAAAAATTTAAGCTTTTGCTTCGTATCAGTTAAATTATTTCTTAATGCACTTAAATGTATTTTATTTTTTTAATTAAAATTTAATTTGTTTTAATTAAAACTAAACTTTTCCTGTTCTGTAGAAAGCCTAAAAGGAAGAAAACAAAGAACCTCTTGGTTGCCACAGCGATTCCCGCCTTTTCTGGAGGGGGCGGAGCAACACAAACTGGAGACGGCCTCAAAACGAGTCGTATCAGAGATTCTTTAACCAAACGAACATCTGGTGAACGTTTGTATTTATCTACAGTGTTGAAGGAGATGTAAAAAAAAAAATTAAGGTTTTAAAGTAAAAATTCAAAGCTTTAATTTAAACGTCAGTAAAACAGAAGTTTTGAAAAATAAATTTCAATTCAGTTTATTTCTAAAGCTCCAAGTCGCAACAGAAGTCGTCTCAGGGCCTGAACAGAAACATTTATATATAAAAATAATAATTGAACAGAAACATTTATATATAAAAATAATAATTGAACATTATTTATCTGAGGAGCAGCTTTGAGTTTAACTCCATCACTGAACTCTCATCTTGAACAAGCATGAAGGCGACAGTGGGAAGAAAAACTCCCTCATGAGGAAGAAACCTTTAGCAGAACCAGGATCAGGACAAGAGGACCAGCTGGGTTTGAGAGGAATAGATACACAATGGCAGGTCAAGAATCACATGTTAAGATAGAAATAGTATCAAATGAAAACTGTTCAATTTTAACAATTCATTTAAAGAAATGAGGTCAGTTTGTCCTCTAGTAGTCTAAGTCTATAGCAGCATAACAAGACAACCCTAACTATAGGATTTATCAAAAAGGAAAGTCTTCAAACTGGACAATGTGTCAGCCTCATGGACAGAAACTGGAAGTTGGTTCCACAAGAGAGGAGCCTGATAACTGAAAGATCTTCCTCCCATTCTGTTTTTGTAAACTGTAGGAACCACAAGTAAACCTGCAGTCAGAGAGTGAAGTGCTCTGTTAGTAAAATATGGAACAATAAGATCTGTAATATAAGATGGAGCTAGGTTGTTGAGGGATTTGTAGGGTAGAAGTAAGATTTTGAATTCTATTCTGGATTTGACAGGGAGCCAATGGAGAGAAGCTAAAACTGGAGAGATGATCTCTCCCAGTAACTCCAGTTAAGACTGGCAGCAGCATTTTGGATCAACTGAAGACTTTAAAGAAGTATTTGGACACCCAGATAATAAACCGTTGCAACATTAGCACACAGTTGAACGTTCTGTGTTAAAAACAACTAAACCCTCCATGTTTAGCTGTGATTGTGTAAAAATGGTTGAACATGTAAAGTCCAGCTTCCTGTGAAATGTTGAAATTGTGGTTTCGCTGTGAAATCGGACTCTCACCGTCCCTGATGGACGTTTGTCAGGATTTCATTTGAATCGTTTCTCAGTTTGAAACCATCATGGTTTAAACACACAAATGTCACATTTTTCTCATAAAACCATGAAAATCGTGGAATAAACAGACAAAATAAAAGCACAAATTCTCACAATTCAATGATTTATTGTCCCCCAAAAATTTCAATTTCAGCACAAAACATTCAAGAAGAAATCAGCGATTACAGCAAACAATAAATTAACTCTTTTCTTCATTAAGGCACGCTCAGTAGTTCACAAGAAAATAAAGCAGAAATAAAAACTAGAGAGCAGCCGACGGTCTTTAAGTCTGTTTTGGACAACCGGACCCGTCCGCAACGATTAAACACAAAACACGTTTCAACTGAAGAAAGTCTCAGTGTTTGGAGTCGCAGCCCTCACCGCTTTATGTTCGCTTTGTGAATACAGAGCTTCGGCTGCAAACTATAAAAAGAAAATCCTGCAGCTGAAAGTCAAATTAGCAGAAGAAACATCTTAAAGGTCCAGAAAGAACTTCCTGTTTCATCTCCAGAACCGACGTTATTAAATTAACCCTGACTTGTACAAACTGCTCGTTTAGAGGAATCCTCTTGAGAAACGCAGACGTTTGTCAAACCTGGGCTCGTGTTTTCAACATTTTGTTTAATTTTCCAGAATATTTCGTCTGATATTCAGCGCCGGCTCCTTTTAAAACCTTCAGACCTGGGAAGATGTTCCAGGAAGTGACGCAGCAGAAGAACAAGCTGGAGTCTGTTGGTAAATCAGTGATTAGTCAAACGGCTTTAATGAAGAAGCTGGGAAATAACCGGAGCCAGAAGTTTTCAGTGTTCTGGTCGACCTGCTGGAACCAGAAAACTAAAACTGGACTTGTTTTTGAATCCAGACTCTGGTCCAACACGTCCAGGTAGAAACCTGCTCCACTAAAAACCAGCGGGTTTTAATTTCACACCAAAATAATCTCAACGACTTCGTCTTTGACTCGCTTTAGGTTTGTACGTTTTAAATTCATCAGCGCATGACTTGATGTTTGCTCAGCTGGTTGGACAGGTATCGAGTCGTCCACCTGAGACGATGAACGGTTAAAACCTGAACTTCACGTCAGCAAACCCACAAGGTTTGAATCCTTGAAGCACGAGTGCGTTCACCGCCGACGTCCATTAAAAACTACGTAAAGAACGACGCAGTGAGATCCGGTTCGGCTTCGAACTGGCAGATGTTTGGACGGACGCCGGGCCGAGGACGGAGAGCGTGACCTG